TAATAATATATATTCTAAATAGTTAAGTTATCACTCTCCCTCTCTCTCTCTCTCTCTCTCTCTCTCTCTCTCTCTCTCTCTCTCCTTTTCTTCTTTTCAATTCGTGCATTTTCGTTTTTCAAATTTTCCGTTCATGTGCTACTTGTCAGAAAATGACTTGAAGGCCTTTTATAGCTCAGTTGTTTCCTGTGATGTCAGCATCTGTCAACATTTGAATCAAAAAAACTGGCCTTCCAAGCATTTTCAATTATTTTAACGAGAAAAAAAATAATTTTATAGTTTGCATACACATTGACTTGCTTCATGCGTAACTATATGTGTACTTATACGGTTTGTTCATTAACCTATCTAATGTGTTAATTGGTAATTATGCAATAAGCACTATGAAATACAAAACATCTGTCAATATTCATGCTCACTCTCTCACATTTACCATCACTCTCATTCTCTGTTTACTAATTACTGTATCTCTTCTGCCTCTGCTCATATAAGGTTATGGATTCCATGTGTTTACCGCATCGAAACCCAATAATAATGACGTCATGCAGACTGTACAGCATGACGCCATTACTCTAAGAGGATTCAGTATAACCAAAGTAGTCATCAGGCCGCTTAAGACAAATAAGGAAACCTAATTGGTTAATCAAACATTAGTCCTCTGAGGTTATGTCAACGAGAAGAGAATGTTTCTTTTTCATTTTTTTCTCAACCAATTGACGACAATATTCTAATTTTCAATTTTTTTGTAAACTCAGAGAATATATGAGTTTAAAAAAGAAATTGATAGATCATAGTGAGAGGAGAGATAGAGAGAAATGATAGAGATAGAGAGAGAGAAGATGGCCGGAAGGATTGCATGTCGGAAAAGTAGCCGAAAGAAGAGGAGAAGCCTTGATTGGCCAAGAAGCTTATGGCCGACTTCAACACTTGAATCAATCAAATCAATGATATGAATGAAATAAAAGCAGATATGTACATGTATATATCGTGTTCACTATATACATATTTTTAACTATTAAAAGCAATTAATTTACCTCCTAAACGAAGAAATATTTTGTTTGAAACAGCTGTCCCGAAGATATTTGAAACGAAACATTGGTAATATCCCTGATGTTCACGTTTGGGTGTATTGATGACGATCGTTCCACTCTGTCCAGGTAGAATCCATTCTAAGTCACCTCCGATTTCAAGAAGCTCACCATTCTTATACCATTTATAGCTGTAATGGAAAACATTTGATGCAGCATGATATGAAACAGAAAATACCTCTCAGCATTATCTGAAGCTTGACATTTGAGAGTTGGCTTTGAGAGAGGATTCGAAGATATATCTAATTTATACCAAACTTCTTCAGCTGATTGTGATAATAGCTTGGGTGGGCCTGAATAGATAGCTCCTACTTATAGCCTATCATGAGTATGTAAGCTTACCAAGCGTTGTAGCTCTCAGCTGAGGTGAGAAGAAAAGGAAAAGAAGCGATACTAGATGGAACAGCTTCATAATTCTAACAACATCTGAAGATAATGAAAATGAATATTCAACATGTTAATGATTATATTATTATTCATTCCAAAGCAATCCTCGCTCATAGAAAAGCTTAATGAGCTCTTTCTCACAATGGAATGAAGATGGCAAGAAGAATACAAATCAGCTAAAACCTTATTGAGTCAGACACAACACGATTCACTTGGATGCGCGAGAACAGCTTCTCCTTCTCCTTTTTTTGTGGCAAAAAAGCAAAAGCTTAAAATTTTCTTTTTCTTTCTCATGCAACCATCTCAGAAGTCACAAAAGTCAGTTTGTGTTTTTGCTCAGAAGTAGTACGAAAAGAAACAATGAAGGAAGACAACACTACTTCATAACGTGGAATACGAATTGTTTAAAGTAGTTCAAAAATGAATTTTTCAAAAACATAATAGAAAAGCATTTTATGTCCCAGCTGGTTAGATGACGAACCAACTTTAATTAGCAATGAAGAGGAAGGACTTGCGGCATCAACTGACGATGAACCCCAACCCCAGGCCCAAGCACAGATTAGGACATAAATGGAGAGAGAAGATTTAAAGATAGCAGAGAAAATAGTTGAAAATAGTAGAAGAAAGCAATTTTATGGAGAATCGGAGGGGAAATTACAAGAGAGAGAGAGAGAGAGAGAGAAAGTATTATTTGCTTTTTGAAATGAAGAAAATATAATTTGATGATGAACATTGGTTGAATGCTCAGTTAGATTATATGTATGTAGGGACATGTACATAAGATAATATAACCATATAAGGAGGAGTATTTTCAAGTTTCTTATAGACTAAGGAGTTGGGGTGAGAAGAAGGCGGAGACTAGCAATGGATACGATTAGAAGCCTGCAGGACAAGGAGGTCGAACAAGCTGACCCTGCCAAGGGTGCAAAAGAAAAAGCAGAGAAAAGAATATAAGAGGGAAATTGAGGAAAGAAGACGCATGTTCAATTCAAAGTTGATTCAGTTCAAACTAAAAGATGGTCAAAAGAGAAAGTTAAAGAAGCATAGATGCAACAAGCTTTTATGGAGATTTTGACATGAAAAGCAGTGAAAATAACACAATTGGATAAGAGAGAGAGAGAAGAAGCATCTTCACTTGAATAGACGAAATCAACTGACCGCAGTTTGGCAAATTCAGTGACGACGTCGTTGACGATGAGGAAGAAGCAGGCTATATTGAGTTTGTAAATGAAAAAACGGACCAATGCCATGAATGTGACGTGAATATGTCACGGAAAGGCATTCCCATTCTTTTTCAGATATTTTTTCATCTTAACCAACCTTACAATAAGCATCATCCTTAACTATGTATATAGTTAAGATAATATTATGAAATAGTAATTATGATATAAGAAATGATAAAATAAAGAAAAAAAAATTAAAAGTCGAAGAACGGAACAGCCGTATGGCATATATCAATGATAGACCGAAGAATATTTGGCAGACGGTGGGTGATAAAAATCAAAAAAGAAAGAACGCCATTACAACAGATGATCTTAAAATATAAATAAGAAAGAGTATTTCAATGTAGTTTGTTATGTAAAAATGTTAGTATTTACATAATATTTGAATATGAATAAAAGAAAAATTTGATGGTTTGTAATGAAGGAATTCAATTTCCTGTCTCGCTGGCTATTCCTTATATAGAATGTTGCTAATACTGCTTACGAGAGTATAAGATAGTTTAAGAGAGTCATATGAAGAATGTTAAAATATAATGCAACCGCTTTAGAGCATCATCTACACGTAAATGAGTTTTTGAGAGATAGAGAAAGAGATATCACGTGTAACGTGTATACGTGTAAGTAGTACATGTAAATGAAGAAGTAGGCGGCAAATGTAACAATTTAAATATTATGTGGTTCTTAGTTGTAAAATCACAGCTCTTCAATATGACACAACTGTTTTCTTAGTGAAAGACATATGATCATTGGTTATATCATATAGAAAAGAAGATTTTCCAATTTTTATTGTCTGCAAGTGAGGAATGTACGAATAAAGCAGTCAGAAAATATAAAATCAGTTCTGTTTAAGTGTCATTTGATTTGAATTTCGATGAAGTTTAACCGTGTACAATCACTTCCATATGTTGGGATCAAAGGTTTTTTTTCTTCATTTCTGTTAGACATAACAACATCAACAACTTCATGTACAATTCATTCTTTATACATATAGTTAGCTAAATAGAATGAAAATGCATTCGATGTAAACTATAATAAGGAAGAAAATATAATTTTTGACCATACGACCCTCTTTTAATGAAATTAAAATATGGAAGGAGAACAACCGCTCACTACGTCAAGTACATGGAAAATGAAACATTATTTCACGTGAAATGAGTTACGTGAATAACGGCACATCAGATGCTTTGTATATAAGATGAGCATTCAATGATTGAAATATGTAATGGCATACAGTTGTTTATTAATTATATTTTATAGTTAATTTATTTATACAAAGATCACTGTGAAGGGCTTCTTGATGTCGGTAAAGCTTAAACAAAGAAATGTTGGAAAATAAAATTTAGAAATTGTATTTGGAGATATAGATTTCAATGATTGCCACGTTATAAGATAGAATAACTCCTCGTCGGGATTTTGTGTGAATGTTCACTCGCACTGTTTGGAGGGTCGGTCCTTCTATCGGGCGTGTCAAACGAACGATTCCTGTAAAATGATTTTGAAAGTGAATACAGTACAAATTAGAATGTACCAATGTTTCGATCCTGCTCAACGTTGAAGTACCTCTGACTTCGTGCATCGAGGATGTATTCAACAGAGAACGGTATCTCCATGTGGGCTCTTATACGTGAAATCTGAAAGTAAGTTCACTTCTTGAGACAGAAAAAACAGAATTAGGTGGAAAGACCTCTAATGGATGTTTCAGAACAGTCAATGATGGGATAGCTCGGAATTGATAGAGTATTTCTCTTGTACTGTTAGCTATACAAGCAGCATCTTCAATGGAGCTACAGTTTTTGAGGCATGAATAACCATCTTGGATATTACTAAATGAATGAATTTAATATTTATTATAAATAAATTAGTTATATAAATAGTTAGAAGAATTGAAAATGAGATCACAGGTTTTATATGATTATATGAGTCTATCAGTGAATATGATTAGAATGTCTTTTATGGGATGACACATGCACGACAAGTATGGCAACGAATTTCCCAGAGAATTGTCCATTTTTAGTTAATCTAAGGGTTAGTTCTAGTTCAACATCTTGAGGTCCATCCAAAGAATCACGTAAAGCCACAACAACACTGTTTCTATCTTTTCCTTTCTGTAACAGGAAATTTGGTCGAATGGCAGGCGATATTCCATGACTGCCTGTAAGAGAGGGTCAGGTGAAGTATTAGCTGATTAGACAAGGTGTTGAGATTACCTGTTACAGCTTTCTTCAGCTGAAGCTCAAATTGTACTAAACTATCATGAGAGCTAGGTCCTTTAATTGTGAATAGAGTTATGGATGGACGGTGAGATGAAATAGGAACAGCTCGTGGAATTGCAATGAACTGCCATGTATAGTGAACAGGGTAGTTTCCTTTACATGTTACATCATCTATGCCTTCGCAAATGCTCTTATCACGGTTACAACGACTGTAAGGTTAGTGATTGTTAGTTCGTATTAGTAATTCCATTGTTAACTGTTTGATGTGTAATCAACTAATGAAATGAAACATACTTCTTGTAACTGCTGTCATGAATGTAATTATGTGGACATTCGATACGATTACATTTGAACTGTCCCAACGTGTTCACACAAATACGATCATTTCCTTGACATTCTCCTAATTGACATTCATCGATATCTTCAATTATTTATATTTTCCATGGTTATCGGTAAATAGCTCATCCTCACCCACACATGTTCTACCATCAGCTTGAATCTTGTAGCCAGGAGGGCATTGACATAAGTAAGATCCACGAGTGTTGATACATCCTCCCATACACAAATCATTACCTGAATACCATTCATCATAAAAAAATTAAAAACTACCTGAGTACCTGAACCAGCCCAAATGGAACATTCATCGATGTCTTGGCATGTAATTCCGTCTGATCCCAAAGCGAAGCCTCGGTCACAAATACATTGATAAGATCCAGGAATGTTAACACATTTTTGCTCGCATCGTGCTTGTCCATTATCACACTCGTTCACATCTCAAAAACCATTCATATTTGACATCAGATTGTTCTTCATGCTCACCCTCACAACGACGTCCATCAGCAGCCAATTGGAAGCCAGCTTTACATTTACATATGAAAGATCCTATCGTATTCCTGCACTCAGCTGAGAGATCACAAACATGTCCAGCAAACTTTTCACACTCATTGATGTCTTCACACTTTTTCAACTAAACAACTAACTGATAAAAGCTTTTCTTCAGTACTCTACATACTTTCTCGTCAAAATCATAACCGGCGGGGCAACGACATTTGTAAGATCCTGGCATGTTAATACACTGCAGTGATCCACAAGCGTTTTGCATACATTCATCAATGTCTTCACAGAACCCAGTGTTTCTGTTAGTTTGGTATCCTTCAGCACACATATTCCCCATTTCCTGACAGCGATAGGATCCAGGGGTATTGATGCATTGTTCGGCAGGACCACAACGATTAGCTTCTGCACACTCATCAACATCTCAAAGAAGTTTGATTGTATTGCACAATATCACCTTATCCTTACCATTACACATTCCATTCTTCGGGTAGAATCCCAGTGGGCATTCAATTGATGTACATTCTCCGGTTTGGGGATTCTGTAATTCTCCTTCACCGCATTTCTTGGGATCACATCTGAACAAAGTTCATCGAAACTTGATAACGGAAGTAAGAACCTGTAACTTCCTTGAGTGTTTCGGCATTGATAGAGAACACCACAATCGTGAGCTCCCAGATTACATTCATCAACATCTGAAACGTTGGATTTGTCAATAATTATAAGAAACAAGTAAAAAGTGTTAAATGTCGTTAAACACTCAGCACACACACACACCAATGCATTGCTCAGATTCAGAATCCATAGCATATCCAGTTCCACATGATAATGTACGAATGCATTTGAAGGATCCCGGAGTGTTGAGGCATCTTTGAGATTCCAAACAGTCATCAACAAGTAACAAGCACTCATCCACATCTAATGAGTTGAAATAAAGAGGTTAGTCATGTTAGTATCATTAAGCGGGAAGTTTAAACACCTAAACATTTTCGATGAACTTCACTATAATAATACCCTGTTTGGCAAACACAAGAGAACGTTCCAGGTATGTTCAAGCATAAAGGGATTGTAAACGGACAAGGATTATCAAGACACTCGTTAATATCTGAAACACTTGTTTCGAAAACACCTTGAAACAACACTAACACTGTCACATAGATGAAGAACGAGAAACCATGATTACCTCTACAGATTCCGTTTTGGAGGGAATATCCTTTATTACATGGCCAACCCTTATGATGGGTTTGTGGATCGAAATGTCTTGAAGAATAATGTGATGAGGGACGTGCGGGAGCATCTCTCATCAGAAGATCCTGATGACGTTGAGCATTGGTTGAAACGCGTCTTCGACTCTCGTCTCTCATTCGAATAATTCGTCGATTATCATAAAGATTTCGTTTTTCGCATTCATAACCACCATCTGTGTTAACACATTCCTCCATTCCCCACTGGCATGGAGGAGTACGGGAGGAACACTCGTCGATATCTGTAGGTTTAAGGGAAAAAGAAGCTTGGAAAGGTATCAACAAAGGATAGTTCCAAAATTTTTGAAGAAAATTATTTTCTTTCGTTACTTTTTCTAATAACTAGCTGTACTAACCGACACAGGTTGTTCCATCAGGTCCAAGCTCATATCCCACACGACATGAACATTCAACTGAATCTCCTCCTCTACAATTAATTTGAAAGTTTTTTTTATTATTATTTATGACTATTTTTTACCTATCATTACACAAATGATCACATTTAGCTGTTGAACATCTGTCGCCAAGTTCAAGAACAGCTTCACCGTCAGACATCGAAGGCTTTTCTATAATTTTTCATTTTGTTTTAAACTGTTATCTGATTCGAGTAATGAAAGCTAATCTATGTTAGTAAATGGACCTGTCCTAAGATTGTGAGGATGAGAAAACTCAAATGTACCGGAGCAACATTTGGAAAATGCTTTGAGACAAGCAGCTGAGAAGCCTGTTGGTGGGATGCATGGCTCATTTCTCTTTATCAAATCTTTAGCTAGAAGGCAGCAATCACAACATTCCTTAATTGCTGATATCATTACATTCAGAATAGATTATTGAACCTTTCGTAATCCTCCTCCTAATACATTAATATTTGTGTGACAGGTGTCATCTTGTCTAGCCAATTGAGCTCCATCATCACATGCATCATCTAACAATGCTCGTAAACAACAAATAGATGCAGCTCTATTAGAGAAGTAAAAATGTTTTTTTCTCACATAAAACTGTTTCTACCTGACACATGTTAAGCTAGTTCCTTCACTTTTGATATTAGAACATGTGGAAGTTTGTAAGAAGTGACGACTACCGCCAGAACAGCATCTTGAGAGTTCATTGCCAGAAGCAAAATCTGAAAATATTTTTTTTTTCTTCAGGAAACAAACAGAAAAACATTTTAATCATCAGAAGACAACTATCCGATTTCGTTATTGTTATCGTTCAGATTGGGTGCAAACAAGCACAATCAATCTTCGGAACATCTTCTGATGCCAGAGATAGAACCCTGAACCTCTTGACTTGAACTTTGCCATAGCTCCGCCCATTTTTGGTTACTACGTCTTATCATGATCGGATTAAAAAGGTTCAAAAAAAAAAGAAATTGAAAAGAAAAAATTCTTTTCAATTCTCATATTTCAATTGTTATCTTTGGAGTGTTCAGAATAAGATGATAAGTTTTAAACAGCTATTTATGGGGTTTATACATGGTCAACTATCACGCTTTAAATCGGAAAATACAAAAAAAGTTTTAAAATGAAAGAGTAATAGAAGTTGAGAATGTGCAAACGCATACTCACCTGTAATGCTGTTGAGAAGGAGAAACACGAATATCACAAAGTGCTTCATTCTAATCTGAAATGAGACATGTTGTGGAAAGCTTTGATTATCATAAACGTTGTGGAAGATGAAGAAAAAAAATATTTGAAAGAGAAAAGTTAAGGAGAAAAGAATCTTCTCTTAACGAAGAACACGATCGTTTTGATCAATGCATGTTCAAGACGAGGCATCAGATCAAATTTCCTCCAGGAAAAGAAGACAAAAGAAAATATGAGAAAGAGGTTGGATAGAAGATCAGGAAATGAACAAAAACGTTTCTGGTAAAAGTTAAAAAAAGAATTCTCTTCAGCATAGATGATCAGAAGATGTCTTTTTAAAAGTATTCAAATGAAAGATAATTCTTGATTTAAGAGCTATCGTGAACGCAGTTTATCAAGAGAGATGGAGATAGAGAGAGACAGGAAAGAGAGTGAGTATGAAAGCTCAGGTAGTGAAAAAGAAAGAAGAGAAAGAGAGAAAGAGAGAGAAAGAGAGTGAGTGAAGAATATAAAAATTTTCCTACTTTGGCTGATTGACATAATGAAATCTTTGTGAACGACATGAACTTCTCTATTAACACCTCTCCCACACATGTGTTAACAGAGAGAGAATGATATAAAGAGAGAAAGAGGCTGAGAGAAAGAGTGTGAGCGAGGGAGGAAAGCAAGGGTAAGGTGAATTCTTTTTTTTTTTTGAAGAAAACGACGAAAAGACAACAAATTTGATGTGCTTCAGGCATTTTTCTTCCTGCTCTTTTGTAATGAAAGATATTTGAGAACAACATGTTAGTAGAAAGAAAAAAATATTTTACCTCCAGAACATTAAAAATAAAACTTCAGAGAAAAAAAAACAAAGTAAAATAGGTGTATAATAGAAAAAGACATTTATATGATGGAGCTGCTCTGATAACGACAGTCTACTCCCCCCCCCCACTCTTTCAAACTCTCTCTTTCTATCTCTCTCTCCCTCTCTCTGTCTTTCTGTCTCACAGCTTAATACATTTTCGGAGAATTTGTGATGATGTGAGGGAGAAAGCTGGATGGAAGGAAAAAAGAACAACAAAAAAATAGTTTAAAGTCTTTAAATATGTAATAAATCATTCTAATTATAGGTTATAATGAATAAAAGCTTGATTGGGTCAAGTTGTCAAAGAATATACAAAAGCAGATGTTTCAGCTGTCTGTAAACAACTGTTTTTCCGTTTTTGAAGCTCAAAGCTCTGTCTTCTAGCCCTCTAACCTCTATATAAGATAGATAAAGAGAGAAAAGGTAGATGTATGTAAGTATGAGAAGTAAATGAATTGAGAGAGAGGTAAAAAAAGAAAATGAGTGGGTAGAATATAGTATAAAGCTTAAGAGAGAGAGATTTCTTTAACAGATGAAGGATGAGCTTACAAATGAAACAAGCAATCACATTATTCTTAAGTTTATTAGCTATTAAAAGCTTAGGAAATGAGCGAATTTCAAGTAATTTCATTTCTTTGTTCATTTATCAGCAATTTCTCTTAATTTTTCATTAAAAAGTTTTTTCTTCTTTTGAAAAAAAACATTTTTGTGAATTAAATCGACTGCAAACCACATTTTGACAGATTCATGCTGATCAGACGTGATTAGTTGAGCGAGAGAGACGTCTCTCCTCATTCACTTCCTATTTGCAACTTTTTTTTATATTTTTTCATTTTTTATAATCACACTTTGTCGTTCGTGAATTGGCAGTGGCAATGTTTTAAAGCAATGAGAGTAGATGAAATGAAAATGATTTTAATTTGTAAAATAAGAGAATAAACGACTGTTTAATGGGATACCGGAAGCTTTTGAGCCATGACAAATTGATATGATCAGCTATTGTCATGAGAGGAGAAGATATAAAACACTTCAACATGTTAATTGATCATTATTCATGTAATACTTCACAAGATATAGAGTCAGAAGTCCTGTGAAAGGAGAGAAGAAGCTATGATATGAAAGTTTAGAAGAAAAGCTGAGGTCTTTCTAATCATTGTGAAAGAGCTCATAGTGCCAGCCCTAACGTAAAGCTCACGTGCACAATTTGAACGAAGAGCTTTAAGTACAGACTGAGAAGAGAAAAAAAAAATTCTCAGAAACAGCTTCAGGAAGAAATATGTTGATGAAGATTTTTCATTCTACAATATTTCATAAGTGAAAGCTGTATGAGTATAGCTTGAAGATAAGATGGAGTGAGTATACTATGTATGAGAAAGACACAGAGAGAGAGAGAGAGAGATAGAGAGATAGGATGGAAGAGCAAGAACATAACTGAATGCGAGCTACTACTCCAATGGTTGACCTCAATCACAATTGAAAAGTACTAAAGCCCTAATCTATCATATCAGCAAATGGAAAAGTTAATTACAACTTAATTTTTATATAATAATATGAATAATTGCGTAACATTTGCATATTCTGTAGATATGGAAATTACTAAAGTGATAAGAAGTGATTGAACATCAAGAATTGTATAGTAGTTTTATTAAAAGATTTAAATATTAAAATATTATTATAAATAGATACAAGACTGTATGAAGAGGTCAGACATCTACACAGTGCTATATAGCTTATGAGATGACCGTTATATCATTTATATGATATAAATATTAATAATATAGATAGAAGATTGATTATCCTTATTCTTGCTCATTTAAAATTGAAACAAACTTGATGATAGACAACTGATGACGAATGATCATCACTTCAAGTTCAGAAGAATCTTCAGATCTACTTTCGTTAAAAAGAGATCAAGTTACAGCAATAGAAGATGATAACGATGATTCTGTTGAAGCAAAAATGAAACAGAAGAGGCCAATGGCTCAACAAGAGTTAGGATAAGCATGTGCTTTGACAAAAGAGATAATTCTACTGTCATCTCTGAAACTCTCTCACATATCCATTAACTCTTAAAATATTTTTTTAATTAAAAAAAATATTGTTTAAACAAGTTAGTTAACTAACCTTCACTTAACGTCATATCATCACAGCGTAGACAACCAGTTCACATGTTATTCAAATTCAAAAATGAAATAACATCTTGATCACGTTTAGCGTATGCTAATTATTGGCGGGTAAGTGTGAAGGTGAAGCTACGGATAGTATTTCAATTTGTTTGAATGTTAGGATGAGAAATGATTATATATATATATATTTATGAATTTATTATAATATTATTAATTATATTTGTATAAGACGTTATTTCATTTGTAATACTCCTCCAAATAAGTGATGAGTTATATCACGCGATATTTCCCGATAAGCTTCCACAATAACCTCATTTTCAGCTTCTAGTTGAGAATTATGAAGTTGAGAATGATATTGTTCTCCTGTTGGTAGTACAAGCTGAAAATACATTTTCCGTTATATAGATTGTTTAGATGATAGCGAAGGAAAAATAAAATCTTACAGAAGATTTGAATTGTTGCTCTAATAATGGACGATAGAAGTTGAAAACAACAGTACATATCATTGGAATATGATATCCCACATCTGTACACGCTTTCTTTAGCATCTTAAACAGAATGATTGTTAGAGATGGAGGAATATTGAAATTACCAGCCACAGAATGTTTCCCGTTACATCAGCAGTATTGGGAAGAAATGTAACTGGAGGAACACAAGCATAATTCATTAATGGTAATGTTTGTGGAATTGTTAAACTTCAAGAAGATATATCATTATCTGAGATAGTGCTAACTTCCTCACTTATGTAAATTATGTGGTAGAACGTTGAATGGAGTCACATGTCCACCTTGGGCGTTTGCAATTGGTCCGAGAGCTCTGAAATTCATATTTTATGATCTCAAAAAGTTATCGCTCCCTACACAAACCTATTTGGTATGTTATAAGGACCATTGGCTGTTCCATGGAATGAATTGATTCCATGACTTGATCTTATAGGCTTTGATGGTTGAGGTTTTGACCATTGCACTTCCAACTCATGACCATGCTATAGGAAACAGATGACTGTGTTGAGAATAACAGAGTATGATAAACCAAAAGTTGTCCGTTTAACCTCTTCAGAGAACTTTCTGCACTTTCGCGAGTCTCAAAATGAACAAACGCAAAGTTCTTTTGAATTTTCACTTTGGTTACCCCCTGTCAAAAGAAAAAAAGAAATTTGTATAAAAAGACAAAGAAAAAACCATTTTCGATCCTCCAAAATGTTCTTTCAATTCATCCTCAGAAACAGTTTTATTGACGTTTCGAACGAACAGTACTCGAACCTTCAAAGAAATTAAAAAGATCCTTTATCAAAGAAATTTTTTTACAAACATTTTTCATAACATCGTCCGGAACGAATTGCTCTTCTTGGGCCCAATCGCAGGTGATACTTTGTCCAAGAAACTGAATTCAAATAAGATTTTAATAATGCATGACGTGGATGCATCAATTAAGAAATCAATTAATCTATCAGACTCAAATCGTTTATGAAATCAAAAATCTTTCTAAACGTTTTGGAATAGCCTAAGTTCAAATGTCTTAATCTCAATTTCGTTGGGCACATTCACTAAATGAATCGTTTTCAACGTACTCACTTTAACGGAAGGAAATTCTGAAAGTGTCAAAGCCTGTTGAATGTTCCAGCAACATATTTTAAGAATTAGATGTTTTTTAATATAAAAACATAAATAAACCTTTGGCTTCTCTAATCGAAGTTTTTGACGAACTTCCTTAGCTTCCTCATGTGAATCATATGAAAGAAAAGCGAATCCTCGATTGTTTGGGTAATCCAGACATAAATCGCTGTAAACTTCGATTGCTTTTGCTGATTTGAAGTATTTTTGAAGATTTTCCTGTATTCAAATAATTTCATAAATGAGGGATTATGATATGATAAACAACTTTAACGTCGATGGCTGATAAATCCTTGGGAAGATCACCGATGAATAAGCGTTTTGAATGAAAGTTAAATCGATCTGCAATTGATTAAATGAATGAATTCTTAATACGAGCGCAAGACTTTTCATTTAACAAGAAAGTACTCTAAGCTGTTACTATTCTTACCTGTGGATGAAGTGACTGGAAATGATAATAATGAAGGAATTTGTGATCCAATCATTTGTGGTTGTGAGTCTAAAGCAGAGGGAGGGGAAATCGTTTGAAAGAACAGAGAGAAGAAGAAGGAACATGAAGGATGTGATTTCAACTTGTGTTTCATACAATTCACACATAGATTTACGTCGGCTCTTCGCCTATTTATGGAAGATGAAAAACGAAGGGAAAGCAATGTCTTTGCTGCATTTTTTTTCTCGTTCAAAATGAAGAGAGAGAGAGAGAGAGAGAGAGAAGTAGAGAGAGAGGGGGGGGGGGGGGGGGGGGG